GGGAAAATAAACTCATTATTATTGTACAGTAACAAGAAAGTCAAAACTAATTTTTGATCAGTATGACAATTTTAGCCAGTACCCCAAAATGGGTATTTTGTGGGAAGTTGGAGAGGATTGACACCATCAGTTTGAGGGTGGGAAAGGTTGAAGTCCAAACTGCTTGTGCTACCAAGTACCTTGGGGTCATGGTGGAAAGCAAGCCCAGCTGGCGAGGCCAGATCATCTGTGCGGCAGACAAGGCCGCTAAGGTGGTTTCTTCCCTTAGCCGGTTAATGGCCAATGTCGGAGGGCCGTGGTCCAGCCGCAGAAGACTCTTGATGTCTGCAGTCCAGTCCGTACTCTTGTACGGTGCATAAGTGTGGGCAGATGCACTCAATAAGGAGGTGTACAGGATACAGCTCGCCTGAGTGCAGCGTCAGGCAGCACTCATCGTAGCATCCGCCTACAGTGTCAAAACCCGACGTCCTGGTTATTGCTGGATTCATACCTGTCAATCTTTTGGCGGCAGAGAGGAAGGCAATATATCAGCGGCTTGGAGAGGACCAGGCAAGAAGCGAGGAGGGCCCCCACACCTACCGGCTCTGGCAGGAGAGCTGGAACAGGAGACGCGGGGACGCTGGACCAGGCGACTGTTACAGCAAGTCTAACCGTGGGAAAATTGGTGGCACGGCGAGGTAGATTTTTACCTTACCCAATTTCTGACAGGTTATAGATTTTTCCAAACGTACCTGTTCAGGATGGGCAAAGCTGTGTCACCCGATGGTATCTTCTGCCCAGGCACTCCCGACGACACGTAACACACTTTTTTCCGCTGTCCACGTTGGGAAAGGCCCCGCCTGGAGGTTCAATACAACGTAGGACTGCTGTTGGTGGACACGGTCATCCCTATGATGGCGGAGGGTGAGGAGAATTGGACCTGAGTGTCACATTTCGTCCAGGGCATTCTCCGCGCCAAGAAGATCGATTTGATCGAGATGCAGTCTAGGGTATAAAATAACAGAATGCTGGAAATAGTGGGAGTCCTAGGGCTTAGGTCACATGTTGGCCTGACTTTATGAAATGTGACAAACAATACCAGGTCTGTGTCCAACAGAGTAGAGGGGTTTTTTTAATTTTAGTGAGTAGTTTGATCCTCTCAGGAGTCTCACACTACAGGTTGGCCACCTGTGTGCGTATTCAGTTATTAAATATATTCAGTAATTTGATCAGCTGAAACATGTGAATTTAATTAATCAAAACAAATGAATATCTATTTCTCAAATCTGAGTGATTTTTTATTTCTTTATTTATGATATGGCCTTCATTTTGACATACCTACCAACTATGCTATATTTAAGAATTCCATCTTCAAATATCACCTCTTATCGTTTCTTTACTACAGGTTTTAATGAATGGTTATGTTGTGTTGAATTTTTTACCGATAGGAAACTGTTTAGGCTATATAAGTTTTGATTCGGTTCTTTACCAAGGGAGGTAGAACGCTCTGTTGTATGCATTGGAGTTTTTTTGTTTTTTGTTTTTTTTACTCAAGCCCTTAAGTTTTGTTACCTCATAAACCCATGCTAAAAAGAGCTCTATTATCATGCTGATGAGAAACCTAAGTATAGTCCAAGATTGATTGTATTGGTTGTATCCTCACTTGGGCACCTACACTATCAAAGCGAAGTTGGCTGACTTCGGTCAAACTTGAAAATATCATGCTACGCAATAGTCTGTAATCTTTTCAAACTGACTAAGAAGGAATTTCCCTTAAAAGTTACCTTTGCCATGACTTTAAATAAGGCATATAAACAGACAGTTATTATGGCTTTGTAAAGTGTGTGCTTTTTCAGTGAAAACTATGCCTGGGTAAAAACAAAGCCACCAAAACAAAAATCTTTTATGGCCCTATTACAAATTGCTTGGGCCTGTTCTGTTCAATTTGTACACGGCAGACCTTCCTAGCTGTGTACAACATTGTACAGTTCATTTGTATGCCGATGACTCACAGATGCACTTGTTTTATGAGCCATTCCAGATGCGAGCTTCACTCAATTTCATAAACTCTGATCTAGAAAAAATCCTATGGTGGTCAGGGGCTGAAACTCAATACTGGCAAGTGTACTGTGATGCATACGGCGCCACGTGACTTGGTGCAGTCCCTCAGCGAGACAGGAGTGAGTGTTGTGCTCAACGGTGAGTCCTTGACCTTGTGTGAAAAGTCAAAGACTCTTGGCGTTGTGCTTGATAACAGCCTCACCTTCTCTGACCATGTCACACATGCTTCGCAGCGCGCGTTAGGTAGGCCGAGAGGGCTGTACAGGTTCAGAAGTCTGCTGCCAGAATCTGCAAATCTACGCCTCATGCAGTCACTGGTTCTGTCGGTGTTTGCATATTTTCTCCCTGCTTATGGAAACAGCATCTCTGGATAAGACATGTACCGAATGTCTGCAAAAACTGCAAAATTCTGCAATTCGTTTCATTTTTGGGCTCAAAAGATTTGAACATGTCTCTCCATTTAGAGCTGTAGCGGGGATGTCAACGGTAGACACTGTTTGCAGGATTATGACGTGCTGCATGGTGCACAAGGCTCTTGTCCTACAGGAGCCACAGTACATTCTTGAGAGTCTCTCTTTCCGGGAGGAGGTCTCTCAGCGCAGTACCCGCCATGGAGGTCTCCATCTTCACTTTCCAAGAGTGAGGCTTAAGTTTGGAACGAGAAGCTTCTCGTACTTCGGCCCAAAGCTGTACAACGACCTCCCCTCTGGCCTCAAAAAATATGCCTTGCCATCTTTTAGAGCCAAAATTAAGGAATTGTACTGTTATGATTAGTTGTTGTTTAGATTGTCTTGTTTCTGTTTTGTTATTGTTTCTATTTGTTTGTTAGTTATTGTTAGTTATAAGTCATTGTTACTTATAATATGACGAGAGTTGTTCTGAAAAGCAGTTGTACTGAGAAACGCTTGATCAATAAAGGCATTTTTATTTATTTACTGATAAAATGATAATTTCCTGAGATGTTAAGAATTGATATAGCCAAGAATTTAAAAATCTTATTTTTACTTTCTCCCCTATACCACCCTCTGTTCTGTTTTGTATATGGAGAAAGTATTGTTTTCGTAAAAATTTGTGAGTTTAAGCTTTGAGTGGATAAATCTGTTTTTTACTTCAAAAGAGTGGTTTTTGAAGTAATGTCTCTGTGTGTGTGTGTGTGTGTGTGTGTGTGTGTGTGTGTGTGTGTGTGTGTGTGTGTGTGTGTGTGTGTGTGTGTGTGTGTGTGTGTGTGTGTGCGTGTGTGTGCGTGTGTGTGTCTGTATGTGTCGATATGTACAGAGCTACAAACTACACCTGTAGTCTCATTTTAATGAAATTTGGTATGTAGGTACTAATACATGGTATCTCCAGGAATTTTTCTGAAATTTTGATTTTTTACGTAGATTTTCCATAAAAACTATATCGGATAATAAATAAAATAAAATAACGGAAAAATCTGATTTTTTTCAAAAAATGGCCCAAACGATTTTGATAAAAAATTAGTATGAAGTAGACCTTTACATTCTGAACAAAATGGTATGCCTCTCATTTCTGTAAAAATTGCAGTTCAAAAGCTATTGTAAATTATGTTATTTTCCAATAAAAAAGCATAAAATAAGAGAAAATCTTAGTGCAACCCCCATTCCTGTAAAAGTTACGGTTCAAAAGTTATTGTAGGTAACTTATGTTATTTTCCTATAAAAACCCATTCAAAAAACGGAGAAATATATATCTTTTTAACCAATTCTGATTGAAATTCTTTTGTAATGGTCCTTATAATTCTAAACAAAATAGTAAATAGTGCAACCCCCCCCCCATTCCTGTAAAAATTGTGGTTCAAAAGTTAATGCAACTTTTGTGATTTTACCTATTAAATATCATAGTTACTCTCATCACTTACCCATGAGAAAGGTTGTTGACAAGCTAATGGAAGAAAATATGTGTCAGATTGATGATACCGTTTATTTTAAATATGTTGCTGTTTTAAAGAATATCAACCACATTTATAAAAATTCTGAAAAAAGTAAAGGTGCTTGTAAATATGTTCTGCATGATTTAAAAAAAAACAACGTTTATTTCTCAACACTCAACATAATACAAAGAGTCTTAATTAGAAAATATTAATATATACATACTGTTTTTAGAAAAAGTAATACAAAAATTGTCTTTGAAATCAGGAGTAAATTACAACAATTTAGCATTTATACCATGTGTTACTATCTATAATTAATAGAGTATTTATGGCAAAATGGAATCATATTAAATCAACTAGGTACTTTCCTGTTAAAGGGAACATTCATTATTACCGGTATCGATGATTTTTTCGATATATCGATATTTTTGTTTTCCGATCCATTACAAAATTGACAACAACTAACTAACTGATCTTGTTTAGGCTAAAACAGTCTATTATATGGATTAAGAAATGAAACTGTTCTAAGCTAACCTAACATAACCAACCAAACTTGCTGTACCATTTAAAAACTCCGTTTGATAACAGAAGAGGCAAGTTAAACACGGAACTTTTAAATGTTACAGCAAGTTTGGTTAGTTATGTTAGGTATTTTTTTAGAACAGTTTCATTTTATTATTGTTTGTTGATACTGAACAATATTTATCGTAGTTGTCAGCTGATATGTTTCAACTTGTTCGATATATCGAGAAAAAAACTATTGATAATAATGAATGTTCCCTTTAACAGGAAAGTACCATCAACTATATTTACATTCTTTGGTGTGAACCATAATATTGTACAGTGTTATTTTATATGAACCTTCCCATCTTTATTGTCTGGTATTAGACACTTAATAATATAATTAATATAATTTAATATAATTAAAGTACTTAAAACAATGACAACACAAAAATAAAATAAAACATAAATATCGAATTAGATGCTATACTAAACTATTTATCAAACTTTCCAAGATATTTAGAATATAAATGATAATTTTTAAGAACTATTACTGAAATGTCTAGTTAATTAAACAACTATTAAAGCACCTACACTTAAATGCAAAAAACTATTTTGAGATAAAAATATAAAAAATAAAGAATAGACAGTTGATATTACTCTGGGTTTGTTTTAAAACCATCTGTATAAAGGTCTCAAAGACCTGTAAAGTGGTCTGATGAAGTACCTGTTAATGTATCTCTCAGGATTCTCAAACACAGGTTTTATTCCGTCCCCCACAGTGCTGATGATGTCGCTGGGGACTTGACCCACGAGAGATCCGAGGTTGTTAATTCCTTCTCCGATCCCATCCAAAGCTGATCCTCCACCTCCGCCATTGTCATTGTTACTTCCTGTGAACTGACTCAAACAGTTACTGCTACCACTGTCGTCACTGTATGGTCTGTTCCCTCCTTGTAGATTGTACTCCAGATTCATGTAGTTGATGAGCAAGAATCTAGCATCTCCTTGAGGTTTGGGGTTGTTCCTCTGTAAACTCAGAAGACATTGTAACAGTTTCTTCTTTTTCCTCTTTTTGATAGCGTGAGCGTGAAATACACGTCCCTCCTCTTGAGATGAGAGTGATCTCTGTAGGTCTTGCCTCTGAAGTTGTTTGCTATCCTCGAACTTGACTGGGGAGTTCTGTACTGGCTGTAGAAGTATGGTCAACAGGAATGAAACAAACTGAAACAGAAAAAAACTTGAGCGAGGTCAAAGGAAAAATCAATAGTTTATTATCAGTGAATTCTCAGTCTACCGGTGAGAACCTCATCAAGTCAGTATTTACATTATTTACAAAACCAGAAGTATCATACATTCTATGGAGGCCAACAACATCTTCAGTGGCAAAGCTGAGTCTGGAAGACCAAGAATTCAGTGATGACACCGGCTGCTTAAGTCCACAAATTATAATAATCTTATATCGAAATGTGACACGGGTTTTTTTATTTCAAGAATCTGAATCAACCATTTGAAAAATTTTCATGATTTTTGTGGTGAGATGAAGGTTATTTTGAAAGGAAGGGAATTTCGAACCCATAATTTTAGTTTGGGGTTTCAGTTTTTCAGAAATTCAGTTTTAATTACTAAAACGTCTAGCTTCCGACTATCATGTTAAGTTTTTCTCAACGTAATTTGGCTTAGTTAGTTTGAAACCATCTGTTAGTTTTAACAGCTGGTTTCAAACTGTGACTGACATGTTTACTTTAGAATTGTTTACAAAACATTGATCATAGGTATTAGTCTAAATATTTGTACAATGTTACTACTGTAATTATATTTTAGAACTTACTATAGTTCGGCCGCTTAGAAAACGACCTGCGCAGTAATGCTAAACCAATGCTGAAGGAGGTCGCTTTCTAAGCGGCCGAACTATACCATATTATTTGTTATTTTACAGAGCAGTATGGTATTCATATTAAATTGCGAAACCGAATGTAGAAAAAAAAACTGATAACTAGGTTGTTTGTTCTCCTATTTTAACAAACAAGAACTAATTTAATTTTGATTTAAATTTTCTATCTTTTTGATCCCAAAAGCAATTTTCTTAATGTTTACGGGTTTCATGAAATTTGGCATTAAGGATTTAAAATGGCCGCCAGATTAAAACGGCTTGAGATATTGAAGGAAACTTTGTAAGCTCTTTTTACCTTCTAAGCTACCCATTTATACCAATTTTGAAATTTCTATCTTGAAAAATTATTAAAATATAAAATAATTTTTAAAAAATCACAAACAGACCGACAACAGAAATCCAAACATTTTAGATACATACTTATATGGCATTTTTATGTTTTTCTTAGCCCAAGGAACAAGTTCACAAAATATGTCAAAACAATTTAAAACAACCTGTATATACAGGATATACAGGATTATTACAGAGTCTGGCCCATACTAGAACAACTAAACTCTGCATACCTTTGCCTTTAAGGCATGTTATGAAGTACTTTTTGGTACTTTTCGAGTGACCTCTCATTTTGAAGGTCCTGATAAAAGAAAACCAATAACCAAAACTAGGGGTCTCCATCTCAACCCAGTAAAAAATGGAAGTCAATTGAAATTCTTAGAAGTGAAATTTAACTTACAGCTTTCCAAGTGTGGAGACCCCCTGTAAATTTTGTAACGGCTCACACTAGAAAAACTAAATTCTGCACACCTTTATGGCATGCTATGAAGTACGTTTTGAGCCTAATTGCTACTTGGTTCGCAAACCCAAAACAGGGGATTTCGGGAAAACTCAAAAATTGTAAATGTTAAGCCCCATCGAGTGACCCCTCATTTTGAAGTTCGTGACAAAAGAAAACTAACAACGCAAACTAGAGGTCTTTATCTTAACCCAGTAAAATATGGCAATCAATTGAAATCTTTAGAAATCAGAATTTACTTGTTAAATTGTAAGTTAATTTGAGTAGTACACAAAGTAGTAGTTGTGCCCAAAAAGTACTTCATAACATGCCATAAAGGTGTGCAGAGTTTAGTTTTTCTAGTGTGAGCCGTAAAAAAATTGACAGGGGGTCTCCAAACCTTTTTATTATCCTTGTACATATATAAAGTAAAATTCAACATTAATAACTGAGTAGCAAAAGTAAAAACTATTCATTAAGATATTTACTGACTAGTTTCAGCTCTAAGGCCATTTTCAGAGTAAACAAAAAATCAAAATAAAATATGTAAATAAAAAAAACATGACATTATAAAACTTTTCTAACTTGTTACATAATTTTTCATGGATTAATTTATATACTATATGATATGTTTGTATTTATTTTCATTAATATTTTCTAAATTATACAATAACAAAATATTAATGAAAATAAATACAAACATATCATATATAGTTTATAAATTATTCCATGAAAAATTATGTAACAAGAAGAAAAGATTTATAATATTGTGTTATTTATTTATTTAAATATTTTATTTTGAATTTTTTGTTTACCAATGTTTAGTTATCCTTTATATTTAGTAGAACTATTATTCTATTTTTTGTATATATATGTGTCTGTTAGCACGATAACTCGAGCAAAAATGATCCGGTTTTGATGCAATTTGGTATAAACGTGTAAATCTACATTATTCCAACGAGTTGGCAAACCAGAATGATCGGACCCTAGGAACGGGGGTTTATGGGGGGTTTAATGGAGTAAAAATTGGTTTTTGTCATTTTTGTCCCTAAAAAACATAAAATGTTGCAATTTCTTTCCAAATCATTTTGTAAAGCTTAAAAAAAAACAAATTATTTAGTATATTGAAGCATTATTATGCGCCTAATGGTTACGGCAAAAACTCAAAGAATTTTAAATTTAAAATTCCTAAGTTATTCTTATGGAGGATAAATAACCGTTGTAGTTTGCTTGTTTATGAACATATTTTTATCTCATTTGGAAAATGCATATATTTTATAGTGAACTATATACTGTATTAACATTTCACAATCAAACACTTTTAAACCCTCCCTGTTGGAGCAAACTAAGTAAACTAATGCTATATTTAAATAGGGAATAATTTAGTAATATTTTTAAGGAGATATTTTAGTGCAAATCCAATCAAGCAAATGGAAATTCGCTTAGTCTGCAGGTTTCCTAGAGGTATTTGTAAACATACTTTGTTCAAATTTGGAAACTTGATTCATTTAATTAAAACTATTAAAATTTAACAAAAAAAAAAACACTCTACTATCCTCCCTGCAAACCCACTCGTTAAATTAATGTGTTTTTTTTAATAGGGAATAAATCTTACATTTTTTAGGAGATATTTTAGTAAAGTGTCCCCCTGAAGAGGCACATCACTGAGTAATGACTTAAAATTATTTTAATAACCAGTAACTGTGTACCAAGTTTTAAAGCCCCATCTTTATTACATTTTGAAATATTTAACTGTCCCGGGACTTTTTTCCACCCTGTATATGCTTAAATTTACAAAAGAGCTTCAGAAAATATGGTTTCTCAAGAAGAAACTAATGAATTATAACTTAGATTCGTATGTAACATAAATTTATAGATTTTGTAGATAACAAATTGACCACAGATGAAATTGCCGGTGTCTTCAATCAATTCCTCTAAAGGAAAATCTCTAGCACATCAACATAAAAAGCATTAGTTAATTTTTTTAGTAAAAAATCTACATTTAATTATTTCTAGAACGGGTGGTCCATATCTATTTTCCAAATCGAGTCCAAATTGCGATCCATGATTAGATCCACTTTTAGGAAAACTGTAGCTAATACAAGTCAAATAAAACAAAATATAAAATTGAATACATAATTTATATAGTCAATCTTCATACTACGATATAATAGATATAAACTTAACATAAACATATTTATAGGCATGGTAATCGACCACCGAAGTACTCACGGACGCCTAGACGGTTCTGTCCAACAACATGAACCGCTTATAGTCCTTTTATAAATTTTGTCAAATCTTGTTTGGCCTTAAGCCTAGAGTTTAGAGTATAGAAAAGATGGGGACAAAGAAAGTTAGGGACACGGAAAGATAGGGACAAATAGGGGTTCGACCGGGGGGGGGGAGGGAGAGATAAGCTGAACTAGGCTCTGAAACGACTCCTTTAGAAGAAATCGTTCTCCTGTTTCAGTTCACAGAGAGCGTTATTGACTTCAAAATCATAATTTGAATATTTCCAAACAGTAAACCTAAAAATTTTAAAAGTCAGTCAAGTACTGATTGATCCAGGCCTAATCGCCTAGGTTTGCTAGCTTCTTTTTTACCCATTTTGGGTAAGTTAAATATATATTACAGAAAATATAAACGCATTCCATGCAATAATATTACTGAAAGTGAATATAATGTAATGACACATTGTTAAGATATGCTGACGTAATTAGTTTAAAATTCTAATATTTTTGTGATTGTGTAGGCATACGATAAACGTTATAAAATAATTGTATTTTTGTTTGCACATTGCGTCGGATCATGGTGTATTTGGTTACTTTTATGTCTGATGGACATTTTATCTCTGAATTTCTGATCCGCTGTCATTTTTGTTGGAAACGCTAAAGAAGACAATATTTTATGCGGCCTACTCTGGGAAAATTACAAGACTGCATGCTCAAGATTGAATATTTTGACATAGGTATATTTTTAACGAAAATTTAGTGATTTTTTAAGGGGTTCAAATTGGTTTACAAGGCTTTGTAAAAATAAAGCGAAATATGTTATATGATATTACCCGATAGTTAAAGATTTTCTGGCCAAGGGATCCTTGGCTGCATCCGCCACGGGATTAAACCCCTTTTTCTTATATTCACTAAATTGGTGAAAATGGCACAATGTATTTTTTGAAATATAATTACATACGTTCGTTACAATTTTGTTTACAAGGCATTTTATATTTATTATGTATTTTTATAAAAGTTAGGAGTAGGCTAATTTTTTCGTGTGTAACACTTTTAAAATAAAACTTGATATATAAACCTACAGATTTCTATACAGAGTGTCCCGTAACTCTCTGGACATGTATATAGCGTTATTCCTTAGGTCAAGACAAACATATTTCACTATAGGAACATGGGTCTGGGGTGCCTAGTTTTGCGTCTGTCTGTATTTATGTGTTTTTTTTTATAAAAAAACTGATAACTCCTAAACGGTTTGAGATACAGCGTTGATATTGAATGTTTATGCGTTTGCTTAGATTAAACAATAGGTGGAATACTTTGTACCAGATGCCTACGACTACATTTTACAACTGGTATTTCTTTAATCTTTCTCAGTAATAGCTAGTCACGGGTTGTTCCTGAATTATATTGTATTATTGTTCTAATATAAACGAGAGAAATTCGCCCGTGTTCACGGTCGTATAACATTAATTGGAGGCTATAACATCCTCACGAAGTTTAAGCTATTGTTTTGGAAATATTCAAGAATATTTTTGATAAAAAAAATGTATGCTTGAATAATTATTTATAATTCGAGTTTACTCCGTTATAATAAAATGACCCTACAAAAACACTTCAATGTACTAAATCTGTTGTACCTAAGCTCTACAAAAGTAACCAAATTTAAGGGGAGATACAACTAGATATAAATACAACAAGTCGTAGTTACAACTAGACCAAGGTACAATAACAATAGAGAACGAGTCGATTTAAAGAGTCGTTCTCAGAGCTTAGTCAGCCTCCGTTTGCCTCCCCCTCGGCTCAAAACCCGATTTGTCCCCAAGTTTCCGTGTCCCTAAGTTTCCTTGTCCCCATCTTTCCGGACACCTTTAGCCTAGGGTGAAGATTTGGAAGAAAAAAGTGGAATGACAATGAATGGGTAAATTTAATGTATTTAAAAATGGATACCTGGGGCCCATTTCATAATAAAGTACAAACTAATATTATTAGTAAATCAGCTGATCGCCCAATGCAAATCTAATGGAAATTACAAGTTACAAGTTGTAACTTGTAACTTGTAGTTTATTATGAAATGGCCCCCTGGAGTTTATTGTAGATGAGAAAAAAAAACATTTTTCTTGAGGAATGATGGAGTTTCTAGGATGTAAATGATGGAAGGGTTGAAATTTTAAACAATCTGAGCTAATCTCTTGATGATTGAGTAAGAGAGAGGACAATTCGGAGCGCCCTCCTCTGAAGCCCAAATAATTAGCCTCATGATAATTGGTTTGATATTTTCATTTTTAGGAATACAACTAGTTGGTTTGTAGGTACAAAGGCCTACAAATTATTTTTTAAATTATTAATAATAATAATTAATTAATTTTATAATTAATTATTACTAATTATTTGTTTATTACCACATAATTAGCACTTACGTATAACCAGAAAGAACTCATCGCCTTTTTCTACGAGCACTGTTCACTGTACAACACACTGCCGTTCTGATCACTGTCAAGTCAGGTTTTGACGACCCCGTGTGAAAGTTATATAAGAGCATAACACTTTCGTCTAAACGCCCCCGCGGAACCGAGCTCTAGCCTACTTCGCCACTAACAGCTGATCATTCGCTCTACATCTCTACATATTATAGTCCAGTGTACTTCTGGCACAAGCGGCAACAATGGGGAGCAGTTATTAGAATCAATTACAACAGACATTGTCAACTTATTAGAACGATAAATATGTATAGGCTTATTAAAGTTAACATTACCGAGTAATCTCCAGGGCAACGCCCTATATAGTCCAGTTCTTGGAAGCATTTTAGTTACGAAATATTCTGTGGTGTTTGTTTAATAGAAGGTTTATTACAAGGGCGATGTTCCACTCACGCCAAACCACTTGCGTTAAGCAATTAACTGTATCAGGAGACGTCCGTGAAGTTATTGGAAGGTGCGAGTTACTAATTGATTTCATTTCAATATCTTTATTCAATAATTATTGTATATTGTACATTGAATTGTGTCAATATTCTTAACATAGTAAATACATTTGTTATAGGATAAAATTACTTTTAAATTACAATTTATTCAAGAAATAAAAATCAAGCTACAGTAATTGAGGAAACACCTCTTTAATGGAGTAAGGAGCAATTTCTATAAGATAAATTTTAAATATTTTTTTTAATTTGATGCTGCTTTAATTTGAATGGTTTTAAAATTATTATGAAGAAAACGCAATTTCTATCCTCCGGCACAGGAGGGCTTTTTTTATTGGAAAAGAGAAGATGGTTGCGACTGTTTTCTCTTAGGGCTTTTCCTCTAGTATTGTAGCACAATTGTACGTTATTCGGTAAAATTTATTTTGCAATGAGAGCCATTTCGAAAATGTATTGGGCAAAAACCGATAGTATTTTTATTTTTTTTAATGCATTAGAACACTGTAACCTTTTTTATTCCCACCGAAGTACTCACGGACGCCTAGACGGTTCTGTCCAACAACATGAACCGGTTATTAGTCCTCTTATAAATTTTGTCAAATCTTGTTCAGAGAGAGGACAATAGCACGGGTATAACTATCTTAAGATCTTAATGCCCTTTGCTGTAGTTTCGGATTAGAGTAAGACTTTTCTTCGTTGTAGCTCCAAATGAAGATATACCGTATGAAATGAAATGTGGCTATGGATAGTGATTGGTATATTGTTTTCAAAGTACTGATACTAGAGACATGGATCAGACATATAGATATACTAGCTGTTGTACCCGTGCTTTGCAACGGGAAGAGGACACCAAATAGAAACATTTTAATCTTTACATCTGTAGCATATAATAGTTACACATCTGCCAACGCTTTTAGAAACAAAATTCAACTTTTATAGCCCTAATAGAAACGTTTAATTTATGACTTTTAAATCTGGTAAGTAGTGGATACCACCATTTTGGTTTTGATTAATTTTAAATCTTGTGTTGGCTGATATGAGAAAAACTGACCAAATCTTCGAATAAAACTTTGACATACATGATTTACCTTCATCTCTCTTAATTACATATCTTTTACTTTATTATTGACATTTTAAATTTCAATTTTGAAGTTGCAAAAGTACTAATTATTAAATTTAAATGAAATCCTTCCATCTTCAGTTTCTTCACTCACAATAAATCATTAGCAAAACTAAGTCAGCTGTAATAAACTTTAGAAATATTGCTGTGCCTTATCAATACAGTCTTTTGAAATATTAAAGAAACTATATCTATAGGTACTATAAAAAAATTTAAACAAACAATTTAGCATTAAAGACAGCAGACAAAACTAATATGATTATCAATGCATCAAGGACTAAAAAATGTAATAGCAAATACAGTATATGTTTCATTGCATCTCTGATTCTACTCTACAAAAATATCAACAAACAACTTAATATACAAACCAGTTCTTTTAATCGGTTCCATCGTCCATTGCCTTACATTTTCACACTTACCATTAAGTAAACATAGTAACAGATATTTCATTTATTTTAGAAACAAAAGAACATTGTGTACTGCTTAGTTTTATGATATTTTACTTGGTTTAATTTAATCAGTGGTGTGGCAAAACACAAATAATAAATGTATCAAATAAAGTAAATGTGAACTGAAATTTATGTTAAGATGAAATAAGAGTATTTTGTATTACTATTGATAATTAAATATAGTTACACATATACAACAGATTTTAGAAAACAAAAATCAACGACGTACAATTTAGTTATTGATGATTTTCTTTAGAATTAAAGCATAGGTTTAGCAAAACACAATAACTTAATTTACCTATATATACATATAAAAACAATGTGATGTGCAAGTTATGTTAAGTTAATCTAACACATGTTAAGTTAAGCAGTTAGAATTTATTTAAAGTAGCCTCCAAATTCATACAAAACATCTATATGCCTACATTGTAATTTTCATAATTTCCATGAAAACATATCAATAACATTATTTTCATAACATAGACGCTTTAAAAAAATCCAAAGCAGAGCCGGAGTTGATACAGCAACGGTTATAGAATCTTTTATTTCTATAATCATTGACATAGTTTTAGAATAAATAATCCATGATAAAAGGTTAGATTAAAATAAACATAGTTATGGAAAATATTATATTTAATTTCTTTGTATCAGCTGTCTGAAATTGTGAAATATGTAGTTTAGCAGTTCTTCTTGTTTACATTTAATGTCAAAGCAAATGTAAACAAACATTGTAAGTGTTCTCATCGCAGCCATGGAGACCAATCAATATTTACTTTCAAAATGTTCACCTCAGTACTTTTAAAGCCAAAGGGGCAAAGCCTACGGTCAATATTGAAACGTGAATAATCCTATAAGGGTCCTTGGTATGGTAGCTATATTTTTGTAAAATTTAAGCCCAGTTGGTTCAGTAGTTTTTGTACCTATTAGTAACACACATACAGACACCATTAGATTTTTATATAATAGTATAGATAGTCCCATATAGACTTATATAGATAAGACATATTTTTCAGTGCAAAAATCCCTGAATTAATCTTTGCGCAGGCATGATCTACGTGGTCCTGCCAGGATAGGTGCTTATCAAACTTTTTAACCTAAAAATTATATTTCTTCAACTTGTTTGATTTCATTAGAATCCAAAATAATCTACGGTTCTACTTTGTTTCTATGATTGCATAGTTGAAAATGGTATAAAGTTCGTTTTATTTTTGTTTATTTCGAGATTATTAGATAGTAAGTAGTTTTTAGATTTGCAATATCTATATTTATTTATTTCATCTGTAGGTTATTTCGATCTGTTCTACTGTTTTGCCTGTAATTGTTAAGTTAATGCCATCACAATATATGCACATATTTCCACATGGTACAGTGGGCAGTGTATTTGGAATCTTGTCCGTGTAGACTAACACAGAAATATAACAGGGACTAATCTATATCTATTTTACTTATTTAATACGCAAGCAGGTTTTTTGTGACAATTACTCCTCCGAAACTATTGAACCGATTGACATGTTTTTGGTGTCATTGGAAAGAGCGTATCGTGAAGTTGTGCAGGAAACTTTCTTTTTAGGGAAATAATTAGAGAGTGAGGCCCTGGCGCCCTTTAAAGTTTCGTATTTCTTCATAAGGATAACATAGGAGATAATTTTTATTTACAGAAACATATGTTTGTTACTTGAACATAGTCAAAGTCTACTACATAATAATTGCTGTGTATTATGACTGTTAATGTATACTACATTTCAATCAAGGAGTGTATACCTTAAAGTTTACTCATAATGGATCTTACTACTTTATTTTAATTCTTTATTTAATTCGGGAATAGTAAAATTTGTTGAGATTAAGATACCATGATTTAGAAAACTTTACTATAATAATTTATGTATTTAAAATCACAAATCTTTGACATTATTAATTCATTTGAAACATAACAGCTGATCGACAAATCAAACAAATAATCTACTTCATGTGAACTAGATGACCCGTGCTGCTCCGCAGCATTGAAATTAATAATAAAAAAATAAAATACTAAACTAAATAAGGGCGGTACAACTTTAATTAAACTCTTATAGGGCTGCTGGATTAATTTCGCCTTATGACCAAATTAAAGTATAACACATTCCATACAACACAGAGAAAATCGTCCCGATGTATTTTTTTCCGTTTTGAAAATCAATTAATCCAGAACAATATCCACACACTTCCTAAAAGCACCTACAGAGAAAGCACGTACATTTGTTAACTCATATGTAACACAGCGTGAATGAGGCTTTATTAAGAATGTTTTATTAACAACAATATTTCTTGTAAAATAGACATCTCTGTCGGTAGAATTGCATGTAGGCCTACGCATATTCTCAGGAGTAGTTCCCTCCATCTGGTAATCTTTATTAATATTACGACTTTTATAATACTTCCTTCCAAACAATGTTTGCTGTTCGTCCACCTTTTGATTTAGTTTCTACTTTTACAGTATCGAAAGATTTCCCTCTCGATAAGGCGACGTACAACTGACCGTGACTAAATACTGGTTCAGGCAAGTACACACCAACTCGATCAATCGTTTGGCCCTGCGCCTTGTTGATGGTCATGCAGAACGCAACCTTTATGGGGAATTGTCTTCGTTTGAAAGAAAATGGTACTGTAGAATCTGATGGAGAGAGATCAATGCGGGGTAATAGTGCACGTTGTCCAATATTTGTGCCAGTTATGATTTCTAAGTCTAAACTGTTTTCATACATTTTCTTGACAATAAGTCTTGTTCCGTTTAGAAGACCTGCTGTGTAGTTTAAATTTCTTAATAACATCACAATGGCACCTTCCTTTAAGACTAATTTGTGAGAAGGCAAACCAGTCATCTCAAGGCTGTTGAGGAATTCAATAGGGAATTGCAATAGTTCACTGTCATCATCTGTAATTAGTTTATTCACACTTATATATGTTTTGCTTGAGCCTGGGATGAGGTCTAAAACTCTTTTATTGATTTCCTCACAATGCTCATTCTTTGGTGCTAA